GAAATGACCCTTTGCAAGTAGCTTTGTTAAGACTGACTGTGTGTGTGTGTGTGTGTGTGTGTGTGTGTGTGTTTTCTCAAATGCATTTTATGAATATCTTGTTTGTCAGAATTTTGCAGCTTTTTTGGGAATGGCCTTCATTCATGCACCTTACAATTTGTTTATCATGTTGTTTCTGTTACTGACAAAAATAGGGAGCAAAATATACAAACTAGCTTGTTCAATCAATTGTAAGACATACCCTTTGATACTCAAGATGAATGTGCGATAGAGTGACCAAATTTGGCTATTATCTTTACTGCAACAGTTCAAACATGTTCCTTTTTCATAAATGGTGCTTTAAATATAAATTCTGTTTACATATAAATTATATGGAAATATGTTTTAGATATATGGTGTTTAAGCTGTATTTTATTTAGTATGTAAGCAGTGGCCACGGACATTCTAAGAATAATCTTTTGAAACTATACATTTGATTTCTTTACCAAATATTTTAAAATTATACTGTTGCACCATAGTAATGTATTTAATTATAATTAGAGTGAATTAGATGGGAAGAAACATTCAGCACAGAATAGTACTATATATGAAAGGACCATTAGGATTGGTAAAGATTTGTATAAAAGATGTCGTCTTGATGGCTTAGAATATGATTGTAAGATAGATCCTGAGGCCAAATCTTGTTTCCTTTACTTGTATGATTAGTTTCTGCTAATTTCAGTAGGACTACTTGCATGAGGGAGGAAGGCAATGTCGATTTGACCAGAGGACAAGTAATGCTTTTCAGAATTGCTTTTTTAGCTTCACCATTCTCTCTGCCTTTTTAGGCAATACTGTATTGCATTCCCATCTGCCTAACTCACTAACAGGTTAACTCTTTTGCCATGCCTACTAGGGATGTAAAGGGTTATCTGGTTACCTGGTAAGCATCAGCCTTACCAGCATGCTTACTCAGTAACCGGTTAACTGGCGGGCCCAGTCCAGCTGGAGCAGTACCCAGCTGACTGTAGCCAGAGCAGCTCCCTACCTTCGGCGCACTGCAGGCAGAGGGGCTGCTCCAAGGTTAACTGGTTAAACATAATGTCTAACTGGTTAGCTTTTTAACCAGGAATTTACATACCTGATGCTTGTTGCACAAATTTATTTTTTGTCACTGCTTTAAAAAAAAATGGAAAAAAAACAAACTCAAAACTTTGTGATGCTGAATGGCTGCACAAACCTATCAGTATAGATTTTGGCTTCAGGACTGACTGTTGCTTGAAAATGGAATTGTAAAAGGATGCATAAAAAGCATGAAATATATTTTTTATGTGACTGGACATTCCTATTTTTTTTCTCTGCCTACGTTTTGCCTGCCATAAACATTCTTCTCTTCAGCATGATGAAAGTAACCTCTGGATGAATTTATTTGATTTAATTTTTTGTTGTAAAATGTAAGATTTTATCTTTATAAATGGATACAGATTTGTAAAGCCTGGTTAAGACTTTTCTTTTTTTTAAGGACATAGTAATTACTAACTTCCTCTTCACTTAAATTAATATTTCTTTAGCTATACATTGTAGTATTTCTATATAAAAATCTTAATTTCTCTATTCTACTGGTGTTAGTTAATTGTTTTTATAATCATGAAAGCATGGAAGTTCATTATTGAAGCACCAAAATCCATTCTCAAATCACCTCACTGCCTAAATATTGTAGCATACAAGAAATTTAAGAACATATGATGCTTAAAAGGCACAACAGGGTGAATTAGATTTTATGGATTAACCATACTCCTTTCAACAAACAGTATAATTCTAAAAAGTAAATGAACTAATGTGCACTTGGCATTCTGCAGAATAATAAACTCACTCAGACTGGTGACCTGTTAGTGAATCAGTTAAGAAGTAGCCCTTACGGCTACATACATTAATTGCTTCAGAGGAAAAGGTGAATATGAACTAGTAACAATACACGTATTACAGGGTAGATCCAAAGTACAGAATGTGTGGAGCTGCCAAGAAGCCATCAATAAAAACTGATCTCATTTTTCTTAGTGTGCATTGTTTGAGTGATAAGCACTTACTGACATGTAAAAATTGTGAAACACTTTTGTAAAGAAAGTTAGAAGCTGAAGTTTCATCCTAATGTTAAAGCATTAGTGGTAGAGAACCCATTTTGTGGGAGAATAAATTATTTTTGTTCCAGTCTGACATTTGTAGGAACTTTTAGATTCTATCTATCCTCTAATTACCATGTTTAGTCATTATGCTCAATGTAATTTAGCATATTATTCTGTCCATAGAAGTCAGGGAAGAAAAAATTATATCCATGTTGGGTAGCAACAGAATAAAAACATTGTTCTGTAATATTATAGAAACTTTTTTCTGTCCTCCTAGGTAAGGATATGGTCATGCTAAAACAAGTTCAGGCCAGACAACAATCCTGCTTAATTCTGGTTAATTTTAGGCACTTACTGCACTATAAAAGTTCTAAGAATTAAAATTCTTCTGATATTAAACCAGTAGTAAAAACAAATTGGCTTCATAATCTCCTATAATCTGGGCTCCATATGGTGTCAAAATATCCTCCTTTAGAAAAAACAGAAGCAATGGCTAAATGCAAATTATGGTTAAATTTCATTTTCGCATACACGGCACAGGTTTTATATTGCAAATAATACTTACATAAACTTCCAGATTGCTGTATTGCTTAAAATATGTATTAATCGTAGTACTAATTTGGTTATAATGAATCCATAATATTGTGTGTGTAAGGCAGGTATGTAAAGTACTTGATGCATCATGCATAGTAAATGTAATTCTATCTCCAAATCTCAGCCAAATAGTTGTCAGTCACAAAATATTCTATTTTGTTTAGAAAACTGCTATTCATATTTTTAAAAGTGAACAAAAAAGTTACAATTATCATAAACTGAATAGGAGGACACAGTATCCAGAATTTAATATATTTTATAGTGTTTCAGATGCATGTTAAAATATACTAATTTTGAGTTTCTGAATTTCTGTGAGCTCATCTCCAAAATGTGTATTTGCAAATTAATCTTATTGTACAGTTCCTATTAGCATCCCATCTCTTTGGGTTTTAGGTTTTAAGGTATTTAAAATCAGAATCAGTGGTAAGATTAAAAAATGTGAAATATGATTTGTCAAATATAAAGTTAATCAGTTGATTTTTTTTGGAGGCTCATACAAAACAGTTCTGGCTTAATTAACCACTGAATTTTCATAATTGCGAATGAGAAACCTTTTAAAACTATTCAGTCTAAAAAAATCACAGTATTTGTTGTAAAACAGTTATATCCTTAGCCAACTAAAGACAACATTACTCATCAACACCTTAAATGGAGCTCACTATCATAGACCTCAGGTGGTAATCTAGTCCAAACCCCTGCTTCAAAGCAGGACCAACCCCAACTAAATCATTGAAGCCTCGCCTTAAAAACTTCTAAAAATGGAGATTCAACTATCTTCCCTAGGCAACCTATTCCAGTGCTTCACCACTGTTACTGAAGTAGTTTTTCCTAATATCCAACCTAGACCTCCCCCACTTCAACTTGAGGCTATTGCTTCTTGTTCTGTGATCTGCCACCAGTGAAAATAGCCTGGCTCCATCCTCTTTGGAAACCTCCTTCAGGTAGTTAAGGGCTGCTATCAAATCCTCTCTCACTCTTCTTTTCTGAAGACTAAATGAGCCCAGTTTCTCAGCCTCTGCTCATAAGTCATGTGCCATAGCCCCCTAATCATTTTTGTTGCCCTTCACGGGATTCTCTCCAATTTGTCTACATTTTTTCTGTAGTGGGGAGGGGCTTAAAACTGGACACATTACTCCAGATGTGGCTTCGGCAGTGCCAAATAGAGGGGAATAATCACATTCTTTGATCTGCCAGCAGTGCTCCTACTAATGCTGCCCACTACGCTGTTTGCCTTCTTGGCAACAAGGGCACACTATAGACTCACATCCAGCTTCTCATCCACTGTCACCCCAGACCTTTTCTGCCATCGCTTTCCCCATATCCACAGAGTCAGTTAAATCATCATAGAAGGCAATCAGGTTTGTCAAGCATGACTTGCCCTTGGTGAATCTATTTTGATTGTTTCTGATCACTTTCTTCACTCCACGTGTTTCAAAATGAATTCCTTGAGAACCTGCTCCATGATTTTTTCATGGTGAGGCTAATTGGTCTTTTGATTCCTGGCTCCTCCTCCTTCCCCTTTTTAAAGATGGGCACTTCATTTGCCTTTTTCCAATTGTCTGGACCTTCCCTGATTACCAAGAGTTTCCAAAGATGATACTAGCCAGTGGCTCTGAAATCACATCAGCCAATTCTCTCTGCCCCTTCAGATGCATTAGTTCTTTGAATGGTGTCACTGTGGGTGCTCCACTCAGGTCTCAGTGCATCCCTGCGCTGGCAATCAGAGCGCTTTGCATACCAGTGCCCCTCGTGCCACACCTGCGCACTCAGCCTCTCCACCCCCACCCGGAGGCCGTGGAGTGCGTGCAGGGCATGAGTCCCATCAGTACCTTTTCAACCATCCCTGGCTGAAGACGGAACTCAGCAGTGCTCTTCCTCCTGAGGGAGAAAAAGTCAATTCTTAGTTAATTCCACCCCTGTTAACTCATAGTTTAGTTTATCCTTTCTTTAACTGCCATAAGAAGGAAAAAAAAAAGCGGGAGCCGCAGATGTGGTGACTTCTCCTCTGCCACAATGCCAGGCTCTCCCTGCTTCGAGAAATGCGATTCCTGCAGAGACTCTATGCCTTCGTCTGATGGCCATGCCTCATGTGTCAAATGCCTGAGGGAGTCTCACATGGCTCACAAATGGCTGCATTGCCAGAGCATGTCAGCAAGTGCGAGAAAAGACTGCGAAGCACAGCGTAAAGCAATCCTCTGGGAAAAGTCTCTTCTCTCACCAAGGGAAAAACCAGAGGACACA